TCACCCTGCCACTCACTCAATCTTTAATCCACTCACTCAACAATTTACTCACCTACTCAACTATTCACCCCCACTCACACACCCACCCATTCACCCACTCAACCTCTAACCTACCCACCAATGCACTCCACAACCCACCTACCCACTCACCCACCCAATAAACTAAACAATCTTTTTTATTTTACCAGAAAAGGCTCAGAACTATATTAATATTTTCAGAAGTGACCTGGTTACCTGATTATCACGGAGACATTTATTGCAGCCAAATCCTCTAAATGCATGTTGATCTTAAATCTGGACAGAAAACCTGGAGGACCCGGAGAAAAATCCACACAACCACGGGGAGAACATGCCAACTCCAAATATACAGGTGGAAAGGATGGGATCGAATTCACAAACTCCTGTATACTAGGTGAGGTAGTTAACATCTCGCCACCGTGGTGCCCCATTCTTTGACTCACCCACCCACCCAATCACACACTAACAACTCACCTGCTCAACCTTCGATATTCACTCACCCACCCACTAACTGACCCACCCAACAATCTACTCACCCACCCACTAACCTATTCACTCAACTCCTCACTCACCACTCCCCCACACAATCACGCACTGACCTACCCACTAACTCACTCAGTCACTCACTAATTCACCCCTCACTCAACCATCCACCCACTCATGCTACCATCCACTCACTTACTTATCCAGGCACTCACCTACTCACCCATTAAGCCACTCACCCACACAATCACCTAGTTACCCACCCACTCAATCTCTAACCCACCAATTTACTCATCCACCACCAACCCACCTCTCAGCCACTCCCTCACCCACTCACTCACTTCAAACTATTCACTCACCCACCCACCCACTAATTCACACAATCACCCACCACCCACTCAATCTCTAACACACTCATTCACCTACTCCCTCAACCACTGACCCCCACTCACCCACTGACTCACCCATTGACTCACCCACCAACTCACTCACAGACCCACCCAGTTAATCACCCACTCTATGTGTAGTCCTCACCTCTTCCAGTATTGAGATATTCTTCCTCCCAGCGGTATCTTCACGACAACGCCCTGGGGGGTGGGCAAGCCTCTCAACGAGTCCGGCGAGCGGGGCATCAGCCTGGTCATGTTGGGTTCATAGCGCAGTGCGGCATACGCATACACACAAGCAGACCCCACAAATATGAACACAATAACAACAGTGGGAGCCACTCACGCGATAGGGATGGACTGCATGGTCCACTCCAGCTCGATGTACGGCTTGCCCGGATACAATGTTAACTACCTCGTCTGGTATACAGGAGGTGTCGGTTAGATCCCAACCCTGACACCTGTATATTTGGAGTTTGCATGTTCTCTCCGTGGTCAAGTGGATTTTTATTCTGGTCCACTGGATTTTCCCTATACATTAGAAACAGGCGTTTAGAGGAGTTGGCTGCTATAAATTTCCACATAAAGCACGTTGACTTATCATTTATGGCCAGGTCACTTCTAAAAAAAGAGTTATGTTACTTAGTGAGATGGTTTAGACACAGGTGATGAGCCTGTGTGTAAGGGGTTGAGTGAGTGAGTGGTTGAATTAATGATTGAGTAACTGATTGGTTGAGTGAGTGGCTGAATGAGTGAGTGAATGGTTGAGTGAGTGGCTGAATGAGTGGTTGGTGGAGCGATTGGTTCAGTGAGCGAGCGGGTAGTTGAGTGAGCGAGTGAGTGGTTCAGTGAGTGAGTGGTTGAGTGAATTAGTGAGTGGTTGAATGAGTATTTGAATGAGTGAGTGTTTGAACCAATGAGTGAGTGTTTGAGCGCATGAGTGTGTGGTTGAGTGAGTGGTTGAGTTAATGACTGAGTGAGTGATTGATTGAATGAGTAGTTGAGTGAGGTTTAAGTTAGTGGTTGAGTGAGTGGCTGTATGAGTGGCTGAGTGAGTGAGCGAGTGGGATGAGTGAGTGAGTGGCTGGCG